GTAGAAATTACAAATTTCTTGGAGTATTTATATAAATTTTTCGGAAACTTATTTATGTAAGAGTCAAATACAGTTAGAGTCCGTTTGGTACGCGGAATTGACGAAATTAGAATTTGTGCAGGTTGAGCCAGGGGTCTATTGGAAACAGCCTCCCTACTTCCGAGTAGGGGCAAGGTCTGCGTACACACACCCTTTCCAGACCATACTGTAATGAGATTCAACTAGGTTGTTGTTGTTGTTGAATTCTAATTCTATAATTTGAATTCTGCATACTAGTAAATGGATGCATTCTTCTATAGTCTATAAATTTAAAATTATCTTTACTTTTTGCGACGGTATACATATCGGGATTAATTAATTAATTTCGTTGCAATTAAATGTCGTTTTACGAGAACAAATAATTCACCAAAATAATGGACAAAAATTAAGGGCCTAATTGTTAGACTAATTAATAATGGGTGAAAGGGATGATCAACCGGAAATTCCACAACGAATTGGCCGGGTTGGGAACGGGTGTTTGGTAGCTAGCTAAATTTATTATTGACTTCCTATTACCAAAAAACGGAGAGGGTGGGAGGACTTAATTGGATCCTCCACTACCCAATTAATCAATGAATAACCACCGAATGGGTAGTTCCGATCAATTACTTATGTAAAGCTACGTCCACCCACCGGCGGCCGTCGGCGGACAGGAACTCCTATTCTTTCTCTCCCACAATAATATTCTTTTTTCTAAGAAACCCACGATAATTTTTTTATGTTCGCTTTTACTATTCTTGGACTGCTTTGCCTCGAGTCGTCATCACAAGCTTCCCTACTGGTAGGGATGGCAACGGGCCGGGTTCGGGTCGAATAATCCAAAAATCCGACCCGAACCGAAATTCAATCCGAACCAATTTTTAATAACGGTTCGGGTTCGGGTCGGAATATCCAACTCGACCCAATTTTTAAAACCGAAATCCAAACCCGACTTGAAACCCGGCCTTTAAGCCAAAAACCCGACCCGAACCGACATCTCAACCCGGAATTCGAACCCGACCCAAACCTAATTTTAACCAATATTCAACTCGGCGCACCCCAATAATTTTAAAAAGATTAAATCTAATTTTTTTGCGTCTCTTTTTTTGTGTGTCATTTTTTATTAAGGAATTATTAAAATGATTATAAAAAGCATACTTGATATAGTAGCACTTTGTCAAGAGATTATCCATAGTGCTCATTATATCCATAGATAGGTGTTTATGTTATAAAATATTCGAATTTGAGTCGGGTCGGGTAAAAATTTAAACCCACACCCGACTCGACCCGATGTCGGGTTCGGGTAAATTTTTTTGGACCGGATTCAGATTATTTTATTCTCGGTGCGGGTTCAGATATTTTAGTGGTCGATCGGGTCGGTTAAGCTCGGGTTCAGGTTGAATTGTCATCCCTACCTACTTGCAACTCCACATCATCAAGCTTTGCAAAGAGATGAAGGTCAAGGTCGATACTTCTTCTCGGTGTGTGGGAGACCATGCCTTCATTGTCATGCTTCAAGTGGTCATGTCCTGAGGCAACCTTTAAAAGGATCTCTGGAGGAACTCGCTGGCAACATACGAAGAGACTATCACTTAGCTTTTTCAAGGTTGATAGCCTCGTAAGAATTGGTGGATGTCGCATAAGAAGCCATTGGGTTGAACGAGATGGCTATCGCTTCCTCAAGGGAGTCATCACAGAAGAAGAAAGAGGAAAAAGAAAAAGAAGAGATAGAACATCGCTTCACTTCTCAATAATCAAAGACCATCACGGTGAATGAAATGACTAAGTACTGCAAGTAACATGATAACATACAACGTAAAACCTACTATTGAATGATAGAATAATTTTGTTTCTCAAGAAAATAATGAAAGAAGCATCTCAGTAAAAATCGAAGAGATTCTAAACATATCTAATATTGACTAGTATTCACTCACTACAAGAATTTGTTTCGTCTGCAACGGAAATCTGCTACAGACTCATTTCCGTAGCAGATCTGCAACGAATCAGCGACGGATTTGAAATCTTTGAAAAAAAAATAATCTGCGACGGACTCTATTTTTCCGTCGCAAATTAGCGACGAATTATTTGTGCCTGTCGCAAATTTAAGTTGGTCAATTTTTGACCTGATAATCTGCGACGGAAATTAGAGGGTTGACACTATTTTTGTTGTTGAGTTGATGGTGCTGTCATCACTAGCTAGATATTACGTTTCTTATCGATCCATGATAATGTTGTTAAGTTCTTGTGTTGTTATTGTTGTTTTTGTTGTTGTTGTCATATGACACTGTTTTTGTTGTTGCGTTGATGGTGTTGTTGTTGTCTTTTGAACCTTTTGTGTTGTTTGATGTTCTTCATGTTGTTATTGCTGTTCTTGACACGCTATTATAGTTACGTTGTTATTGTGTGTTATTAATTAAGTATCATATATTGCAGGCACAATTCTTCGAACTGCGCGAGGAGGCTAGACAAAATGGACTTAAAGTCACCGACGAAGAAATATGGTACTCGCTAGTCGAGGGCCATAACGCAAAGAACCGTGTTCCTGGAGTTGGTGACTATGCACGGGAAATGAAGAAGATCAATCCGTCCTCCAAACCTCGCCGTTCCAGCACTAGTAGTAGCAGCGCGGCGGAGATGGCAGCACTTAAAGAACAAAACCAAAGGCCGCAGGAACAACTTGATAATCTAACCTCAAACTTGTCGCTGACGATTCAGGAGGAAATAAGGAAGTTATATGGTGGTAATCTTCCTCCACGAGGCAATGACGATGGAATGGGAGGGGCGGGACAGCCCGGGATTTGTTGACATCTTTGACATTTGAAACAAGCACTTTAATATTTCGTGTTTTTACAAGATTATGAATTATGTTACATTTGCACGTGAAGGTTTAATTAATCTCGTTTTGAATTATCTATTCCGTATTGAAATTTTGTTTAGAATTATGCGTGTGAAATTTGAATGTGTTGCCCCTGCTACTGCCTAAAAACAGAAAAAACAGAAAATGCTGGTGTTGTGATCAGGTTGTCTGCGACGGACATACCCGTCGCTATTTCCGTCGCAGATCTGCGACGGTTTCAATACTTCCGTCGCAGATGTTTGGGGTGCAAAAGACGAAGGTACCCGTTGCAGGTCCGTGGCAAATCTGCCACGGAATCTTATTTCCGTCGCAGATTTTCAATCTGCCACAACTTTTCTGCGACGGAAAATATTCGTTGCAGTTCTGTCGCAGATTGCTAATCTGCCACGAAATTTCAAAATCTGCCACGGAAATTGTTCGTTGCAAATTGACAGTTTTCTTGTAGTGACTGTCTAACATTTCCCCTTAAGATGAACGTCGTATTATGAGTGGAAGTTCGGAAACAAGAGCTTAAAAGCGTAGCTTAGGTAACAATTTAGTTAGCGTATCAGCAAGTTCATCTTCACAAAAAGACATGAGACACACTCATAATGCCAACGATACCTTATCCACGAACAAAATTACTATTTGTGCCCTCATGTTTCATGCGCTTATGGAATACTTTGTTTTTCGTGTGAGACATATAACCATTTGTTTATTACAAAATAGTTGTGTGGGTGAGACTAGTATACGCAAATAATCGAGAACATAAGTGAGCCACACAACTTTAGAGGCCGCTGACGATAGAGCTCTATATTCAACTTTAGTAAAGAATTTAGACACACAAATCTACTTTTTCATACTCCAGGATATCAGATTTGGTCCAAGATAGATCAGGTAGCCTGTGACTAAGCATCCAACTGTCATATCATAGGCCAGTACAAATCAGAGTATGCCCGTAACTGTAGATCACAAGAGTGAAACACAAGATCTCTGTTAATAGTCCCTTTAACAAACTACATAACCTGCTCCAAATTCTGAAAATCCTTTTCTGTAGGGTTTATGCAAGTCCTGACACTCATAATTCATAGTAAAATGAATGTTAGGCCAAGTAGTATTGAGATATTGATGGCCCGTACCAGATTCCAGAACATGCTAAAATCATGAAATGGTTCTCCTCATGTCCCGTGGTGTGTGCCTGTCGAACTGACAAGGACGTCAAAGTTAGCTTACAATCCTCCGAGCCAGCACGATGAAGGAGTTCAGTACGTAGCATACTTTTTTTTGTCAAACAATGAGAGAGGATGAGGTACGAAAAACCTCAAGGCCAAGAAAATACTAAAGAGGACCCCAATTTTTTTTTATCGAAACTCGTCACACATACAAGTGATAAAGTCCTGAACAAGCACAAAGAAATTATGTGTGACAATAATATCATCAACATAGACAAACAAAATTAGTGTACGAGTCGATCCATGTGAGATAAAGAGACTAGTACATTGATTATTCTTACGGATCTCATACGCAAGTAAGAGAGTAGTTTGACACTCGTACCCAACTTGAAGAGAATTTGTCAAGCCAATTATTGTCATCTGCGATACGAGTTAAACCCCCTCCCCCCTCTAAAAAAAAAGAGACTCAATCTTTAGGTCTTGAGTGGAATGACTTAGATGAGGAGAATAAAAAAAGTGGACCTATTATCTCTTGATTCTCCTCTCTTGTACCTCTTGTATAACATCGGTGCAACATTTCTTCCGTAAAAATCTCTTAATAAGTCGGTGCACTTTTTTTTAATATTGATTTTGGTGGTGTGAACTCTTATTTTTCAAAAAGAAAGTGATGAGCTCCATTCCCGAGGACCTTTCAGACTTGGCTCAACGGTCACTAAGATTGAGGTGGTAAATTTGACTTTGATTGCAGATTGGTAGTAAAAGTGTAACTTGCACCTGGTAGTTGTAGAGATCTTATACTTATCATAGTAACCTTCAAATGCAATTGTCAGAAATCAAACTCGGGTCTTATTCCCTTGACACTTTTTGTCTTTATCAAATGTGAAACGTCCACCCACATATTTGTTTTTGAAGAATTGGTGGTGTGGACTTAAGTACACAACTAGTATAAAGTTGGTGCACTAACTCCCTCTTTACTATCCCTTGCTTCTTCCTTCATCCCCAGTCCTCCCCTGCTCTTCCTCACTCATCAATTAATGAACAATTCTTGAACTTCGCGGCGGAGATAAATCCCAAATACCAAACAAAGAATGACGCTCCTTCCCCAGCCGCTCATCTCCGCCCCATCAGTATTGTTAGTATTTTTATTCACTCTGCCTCTACGCGCCGCTTTCGCCGGCGCAGGAAAAGTCCCGGCGGTGATAGTGTTCGGCGACTCCTCCGTGGATTCCGGCAACAACAACCAGATCGCCACCCTTCTCAAGAGCAATTTCGAGCCCTACGGCCGCGACTTCATCGGGCAACGACCCACCGGGAGGTTTTCCAATGGCCGGGTCCCCCCCGACTTGATATCTGAAGCCATCGGCCTCCGCCCCTTCGTCCCCGCCTACCTCGACCCCGCCTACAAGATTTCTGATTTCGCCGGCGGCGTCTGCTTTGCCTCCGCCGGTACCGGCTATGACAATGTCACTTCTGACGTCCTAGTAAGCATTTAAAACTCATTCCTCTCATTTACTAGCTATACATACCTTCCTCACATTTATTAATTAGTGCATATCTCTCTCATTTACCCCGACCTCATAATATTAATAATATAATAAAAAACTAAAAATAATAATTATAACATTAAATAGCACTAAAATTTAAGGTCATTTCTTTAAATAGCACTTAAATTGTTTTATTCTCTAAATAACACTTAATAATGTCTATTATATTCAGTAATAACGAACATTTACTTAAATAATGACTAATAGATGATGACTAAAAGTACTACATTGGGAAAAAAATAACATATGATATTATTTAAAAAAAGTCATTATATTTTACTGCTATTTAAGTAAATTCTCCATTATTTGAGTCAAAAGTTTAATAATAATCTCATTTTTTGAGTCAAAAGTTGGGGTACAACTTGGCCATGGGCTCCCTATGTTTTTGTCACAAAAAAAATTGGTGTCAAGGTCAAAATGGGAAGAGACAAGTTTAATTCTAACCCAAAAAACGTTGTGGGGCAGAATGTGATACCCTTGTGGAAGGAAGTGGAGTACTACAAGGACTACCAGAAGAAGCTGAGAGCATTCGCCGGCGACCGGAGAGCAAACAGAATAATCCGGGAAGCTCTGTACCTGGTGAGCATGGGGACGAACGACTTCCTGGAGAACTACTACCTGTTGCCGGGGAAGAGGGCGAAGCAGTTCACGGCCGACGAGTTCGGGGCGTTCCTCGTCGGAATTGCAGAGGAGTTCGTGAGGGAAATATACGCGCTGGGCGCCCGGAAAATATCCCTCGGCGGCCTTCCTCCGATGGGGTGTCTGCCCTTGGAGAGGACCGTGAGCTTCCTCGGCGGCTATGCCGCCGGCGTCTGCAACGACCAGTACAACGCGGTGGCTGTCCGGTTCAACCGGCGGTTGAATTTGCTGATCAAGAAACTTAACGCGGAGCTCCCCGGAATCCGAGTTGCTTACTCTGATGTTTACACTATCTTGTCTCAGATCATCACTAAGCCTTCTGCTTACGGTAACTATTTCCCATTCTTTAATTTTACTCTTAATTGATATTTGTCTAGTATTTGTTTATTTTTTACTTTTTTCCAGTCAAAATTAGTAAATTTGGATAACAAACTAAATAAAAATGATATTAGATATTTATATAAAAAAAATTTTATTATATCAAATATATTCAAAATATTATTTTATCTAATTAACCTATAATAATTTTTTTTAATTATAGATCAAATGTTAAAAGAAGTTGGCTAAAAAAAGTTAAAATCGAACAAACACAAGCAAAACTATAAAAGAGAGTAAGAGGAACAAAGTAAGAAGAACAAGAAAACAAAAACAATATATACAAGTTTAATTAATTATAGACACATGCAAAACTGACAAAAGTGCACATAAAATTAAGAATCAAAACTTACCTTACCGCCTAATCCTAAACCTTAAGATGCACTTATGTAAGATCATATTTTCGAGAAAAAAAATCTAAAATAATGGTAAGCCTAATTATTTCTTATGTTTAAACATTAAAAAAAGAATAAAAAGAGACCATCAAAAAACAAGAATTGAATTGGATTCCTAATATCATCATTAGATTAATTATTTTAAAATGTATTTTTGAAATATTTTTTTATACTTCATAATATTTAATTTTGTACAAATTATATGTATTAATTGATAATAAAAGTGTTGCAATTTACCTCAGAGTAGACTGTAAAAAATTGTATGAACCAAATAATTTGGAACTGGAAAGAATTATGCACGTAACATACTCTATATTAATATTTTAAAAAGTTATCTATGAGCATCACTAATAGGAAGGAAAAAAAAGAAAAATAGGATGATGTGAAAGATGAAATGAGAGAAGATTGGTAGAGAGATGAGGTAGATAGAAGTGAGAGAACAATAGACATAAAATGTAAAAAACTATATACTCTCCGTCCCAAAAAGTCCTACACATTTCAAAAAAAAACTGTGTCCCCAAAAGTCTTTATTCTTATTATTAGAAAATCATTTTTATCCCTTACTTTTTCATATCATACATATCACATCATACTTTTTAATTAATAATCTACACATCACATCAAGAGTATTTTTGGAAAGTCAATACAAAATTATCCTCTCTTATTTACTCACTTTAGTCAAAATGTCCCTATCTTTCTAGGACGGAGGGAGTATATTCGAAACACTGAAAGAATGATAAGAGTGTGGTACGGAAAATTGAAGGAAAAAGAGATTAGATGAGGTAGTAGGAGATTACAAAGGAATGAATAGCAATGCTCTTTAACATCTTTTTTTCAATTCAATTTATCTAATTATAAGTGTAAAAAATTAAAAATGAAATTTATAAACTTAAAATTACATTAAAGTTCTACAAAAAAGAGGTGGTATGACTATTTTATTTATCAATAATATTTTTAGGATGGGGAGAGTATGCGTTTTACTCACTGCTTCCGGGATAGTGAAAAGGTAAAATTTACCGAATTATCCTTAACAAAAAAGGGTGGAATATTCGGTGAGATGCAATAAATATTGAGATAATTAATTACTCCCTCCGTCCCAAATTATTTGTCACATTTCTATTACTGAGGCAAAATATCAAGTTTTTTCAATTCATTTTATTTACATATTGGTAAAGAAATAAAAAATAAAGAATACATATAAAAAGACTACATGAAAAGTTCTTCGAAATAAAAGGTGTCAAGAATATTTTATTTTATCAAATAACCAATGAAAACGTAGAAATAAACAAAAGTTCCCACGACTGTTGAAAAAGCAAATGTGGTAAATAATTTGGGACGGAGGAAGTATTGTATTTCAAACGTTAAAAAAAGAGAAAATTAAATCTTTTTAAAAATACGAACTATTCAATCAGCTTACTAACGACATGAACGTTGACTGAACAATGCATTGAATGGATAGAAAGAACAGCAAATAGGCTTCTGGCCTTAATTAGTTTGGACTTTTGGTAGGTATTCCACTTTTTAACTATAAATTCACTCTTTGGTTCCCATCAAGACCTTGCAGCCCAAGATAGAACATTAGAACTCATTATAAAAAGAGCAATGCTAAGGGTACACCAAATGTATATCTCATTTGTCCCTCATCCCTTTCTCCACTACTCATTTTTATTCTATTTTTATTTATTTAATTTTTTTTTAAATCTTTTGCACATTTTTGTGGTAATAGAGGGGGTAGGGGACAAATGGGGTACACCAAAGCTGTACCCCTAGCATTTTTCTTTAAAAAATAAGATAAGGATAATTCTATGGGGACACCGGATATGTACACCAGATGTCCCCCATATACTCTATACCCCCTCCAAAAAAAAATTCCCTCCACCCCCCTCCAAAAAAAAAATTCCCTCCACCCCAAAAAAAATAAAATTTCTCTCTTTCTCTAGGTTTGTCCCTTATCCCACTCGCCCCCTTCGCTGCACCTTCCCTGTTTCTAAGAAGGGAAGGTAAACCACTAAACAAATAATCATTTATTTGGACTCTTTTGTAATTATTCCATTAGTCTACTCTGTAAATACTCTACTAGCAAGAAGAAGTTTGATCATGGACCTAATACCTAAGGTTCACATGGATTTTCTCACACAAAGTTTTAATTTTTTATGCCCTAGTTCGCTTTTCGAGGCTAATATTTGACCAACATATAAGTTCTCTTAAAATATGTTATCAAAAAATTAATAAAAATTATAGATTAAAAGTATTTTACGATCATAATAATTTGTTATAATTTTTCAAATTTTAATTCATTGTACTCCCTCTAGCCAAAAATTTCTTTTTCAGTTTGACTTGACACGGAAATTAAAAAAAGTTAAAAAGTGTAAATATTTTTCATGTTTGCCCTTGATGTTATGGAATAAAGTGAATACTGTATATAAAAAGTAGGGGTATAATGACACATTGATAACAAAAAATTGCCAAAATAAGAAACGAGAAAAAAATGGATGGCCAAAAAGGAAAATGAGAAAGAAATTAATGGATGGAGGAAGTATATTTTTATATATAGTTGTTAATCAAATGTTTGATGACACGCTAAGTCAAACGAACAATTAAAATGGAATGAAGAGAGTAATATAGATGGAAAAATAGTTTTCATTTTCTCCCACATTTGCTTTTCCATCCATTTTCTTTTCTTCAGCCAAATAAGAAAAATATTATTTGTAATTTTGTTTCTCTTTTAAATTTCATGTATCAACTCAAAGATAGTGTTAGTCTTCCATAAGTGTAACCTTTATTTGCATTAAATTAAATATTCCATCCGTCCAAAAATTTCTTTTCCAGTTTGACTTAGCACGGAAATTAGAAAAAAATTAAAAAATGTAAAGATTTTTCATGTATTGCTCTTGATCGATGTAATAATATAAAGTGAATAATGTAGAGAAAAAGTAAGAGTATAATGATCCATTCATTAATAGTTATTTGTTACTCCCTTGATGTGATGGGTAAAAGAAATTTTTGAACATTCTAGAAAAGAAATACTACCTCCGTCCCAAAAAGATTTACACGTTTTGACTAAAATTGAAATTAAAGGAGGGATAATTTTGTGTTGACTTTCCAAAAATACTCTTGATGTGATGGGTAAAAGTAGGATGTGATGTGTAGATTATTAGAAAAAAGGTATGATGTGATAGGTAGGGTTTGAAAAAGTAAAGGGTAAAAGTGATTTTTTAATAGAAATGAGTAGGAGATTGTGAGATGCCATTTTTTTAAAGGTGTAAATCTTTTTGTGACAGAGGTTAAGGAAGAAAATTAATACGGACTGCTATTTTTTAATTCTCAAACAATTAATTTCCACGTTCCCTGCCTAGCTACTTGCATGTTTTAGGGGCCTACATTTTTTAATGCTACATGCATATGTGCTTCCTAAAGATTTGGTCTGGTGACAATAATGTGGACAGCATACCTCTCCCTTTAAAGTTTAAACTAATTCTTCCATTCTTTCTCAGGGGAAAAAATGCTTACAAACAATACAAAATGTTAAAAATCTAATTGTTTCTCATCCTTTTTTATTAGTATCGTTTCATGTATAAAAATTGTCCATATAATGGGAAATTGAGTGCATTAAATTTAGTCAAATCAAAAAAATTATTTTTTTAAAATAAATTAATTGTGTGTTTGAGAACTTAAATTTGGATTTCAAATCCGAATTTGATTCAAATAACTTGTTTGGGAACTCCAAGAATTTGGATTTGGACCAAAATTTTTTTAATTCAAAACTAATTCAACTTCAAATTCACACCTCTCCGATCTCTATGTCATTTACAAATTCAAGTCCAATTTTTCTTTAATTTAGAACTTGTAATTAAAGAGTGATCTCTCCTTATAGAATAACAATTCTATACATATCAACCCACTTCCGTTAGTGTCTTTACCGATTTCAAAATTTAAATTCTAGAATTGAAAATCTATGACTTCCCAAACAACGTTCAGAATTTGAATTATGGTATTTCAAATGATGGAATTAAAATCAAAGATTCCAAATGAATTCTAGTTCCCAAACACTACCTATAATAATTCTATGGAACTGTTAGATTTCCCACATCGAAAAAATAAAGAAAAATACCACTAGCATATATAAAAGGGTGAAACCCTACTTATCAGCTTAAGATTTTGAGTTAGAATAGTGGATCTCGACTTTATATGCAAGTGGTTAATTTTACCCGACACTCCACTGTTGTTCTCGGCCCACCAGAATTTTAAAAGGAACAAAATTATATATTTATACTCCGGTTAGAGTCTATCCCACATCGGAAGTTGAATAAAAAAATAATTAGTATATAAGCTCTTGAGTTGAACTTAGTAATCAATTGAATTCAATCTTTTAATGTGGTTTGGTCCAAATATCTTATTACCTAATAACCCTTTCCCCATTCTTTCAAAGTCCTAGCTACTTGCACCTTCCTCAACTGCTCCATACATAAATGGATATATAGCGGCCAACATCTACCTCCCAACCATAATAAATGGATATATAATAATAATAATAATAATAATAATAATAATAATAATAATAATAATAATAGAAGGTAACGTACGTATGTATGTATGTATGTACAGGGTTTGAGGAGGCATCAGTAGCTTGTTGTGGGACAGGGCTGATAGAGATGAGCTACCTGTGTGACGGGATGAACCCGTTGACGTGTACGGACGCAGACAAGTATGTGTTTTGGGATTCCTTCCATCTCACCGAGAGAACCAACCGGGTTGTCGTTGATTACTTGATGAAAACCACCCTTCGCCATTTTTTCGCCTTATAATTATATCTATATATATCTATACTGCATGCATGCATGCATGCATGCACAGCACCCCTGGCCTATACATGCATTGTTTTTTTTAATTACAATACGGATCGGAGTATACGTACATTATTAGAATTGCCATGCAAATATGTTATTGTGATTATTATTGTTAATGAATCACGGAGTACCGATTGGGCTTTTAGCGCAAATGCACACTAATCAAGTGTGCCCCTCCTCATGCTAAGTTAGCCCAAGGAAATTTCAACAGTTTATTTGTCAAACGTTTTTAAAAGAAATATCGCTACATAGGGGTAAAAGACAATTAAAATGCTGTTTTTATCCTCTAAATAAGAGTTTGACACTATGATTGGGATCAGTGACCCATCGCAATACTCCAGTGACAACGTGGCATGACAGTGGTATTGTGAACTCCTATTTAGATATTGTGAAACTTATATGTCAGATACTTTGTTGGCTCTTTTCCGATGTGGGATGAAAATCCCAACACCCCCCACACCCAAAAGTGCAATTGGCTCGCCCCACAATTTATGCTCATATATATACATGATAGGCCCAACACACAAGCCCATGGGAGTTTAATTCCTAAAACCAATTGGCGATAGGAGGAGAGGCCATGGAACTTATATTATATGTTGGATACTTTGTTGGTTCTTTTTCGATGTGGGATGAAACTCTGAACATCTTTGCTTTTTAAAACATTCGTATACACATATTCAAATTGAGTTTTTTGCACTATTTACCCCTGAACTTTTTTAAAATTTGCATGGATTCACTCCAAACTTTAAAAATTGCAACCATGCCCCCTAAACTTTTAAAAATATTGTACCAACGGTACCTCTGTGCTTGATTTGGGAATTGATAGACCAAAACCCCCCGGGTGTGTATTTTTTGGTCTATTCGATATGTGTATAAAATATAGGAAATTTATGAACAAGAATATAGACAATAGACTTTTAACATGGAAACTAAATCGGTGAAAACCATGTGCCTTTTTTGGTGGTACCATGCCAACGGGGATGTTTTATTATATATCGGGGGCATATTTGTACAGTATATCGGCGTGATAGCCATTGATGGAGCTCGAAGCTCCATCGAGAAGAAGAAGATGAACGGAGAGAATACAATATGTGTGGAATGTAGAGGGTGGCTCCCCCTTTCTTCTTGGTTATGTCTCTTATATAGCATCAAGGTAGGAGCTTAGGGTTAGGGTTCCCTAGCGGGCTCCTTGCGTGGACCGGCCCAATATCTTTAATTAGGCCCAAGGGATATTATCCCATCACAAGCNGGTACCATGCCAACGGGGATGTTTTATTATATATCGGGGGCATATTTGTACAGTATATCGGCGTGATAGCCATTGATGGAGCTCGAAGCTCCATCGAGAAGAAGAAGATGAACGGAGAGAATACAATATGTGTGGAATGTAGAGGGTGGCTCCCCCTTTCTTCTTGGTTATGTCTCTTATATAGCATCAAGGTAGGAGCTTAGGGTTAGGGTTCCCTAGCGGGCTCCTTGCGTGGACCGGCCCAATATCTTTAATTAGGCCCAAGGGATATTATCCCATCACAAGCTCCCCAGTTTCTTAGTGAACACGAAGTGTTGACTGAGAAACTATAGCATGTCTTTGTCTATGTGAATTTCTTCAATCGACACTCTCTTGTACCGGAATCCCTTGAAGCTTCTAGCGACGTTGGCATAAATCTTGACTCCTTAAGCTCCTCCTCTTTTAGTACCTAAGAAAGTTAGAAACATACTTGCCTCGTCGAGCGACTACGAAGTCTATGAGATGGCTTCGTTGTGTTTCGAGGGGAGGACTTTTAGGAGCCTCAAAGAATGAGGGATTTGGTCGCCTCGCGAGGTGGTTTTTGGACCAACCTCGGGGGAGGGCTTTTGTGCCTCGTATGACGGGGACTTAATTGGAGCCCCGCGAGGTGATCTAGGACCGACCTCGGGAGATGACTTTTGTGCCTCGTAGGACGAGGGCTTAAGCCCCGCGAGGTGGTTTAGGGCCTACCTCGGGAAGGGACTTTGATGAATATCTCTTGGAGAGGTTGTATTTGTGAGGGTTTGGTTGGGTGCCACTTTTGTGGGCTTTAGATAGGCTTTGCCTATATTTTTATTTGTTGCATTGATGACTTGGGAGAACACACCCGCTCATCTCGGGGTGTAAACTCTTAGGACTTAGCCAATTTTAGCATTCCCGTGGTGATTTTCACAAGGTCTGCGTTTGGCGTCGCCCTAAAGGTTTGAGTTCTCGTGGCGTGATTTACCACTTTAAAAGGTGGTTAGCCTTCCTCTCAATTTGGAAGTCAAACGTCGAACTCTAATAGACTGAAGTTTTTGCAACGCAAAGCTTGGTGCATGCCTCACTTTGGCCGCCTTCAGTTTTTTTGTTTTTGGTTTGTTTTGTTCTGTGAGCAGGTGGCTCAAACAAGTTAATCACGTGTGAGCACACCGCTCACCAGATTTCTCTTACTCCATGAGTAATTTAATCAACGGACAACCAGACATTTCGTAGATCCCATTTGAAATCTGATTTGGGTTGGTGGAGTGTGACCGGATCCGTGGAGCATAGATACCCGGGCCAGGCAATAACTATCTTACTTGCTTGATTTGTTTAGTGTTACCTGCAGCCTCAAAGGCTGTGAACTCGACAAGAGACGGCTAAGGAGCAGCGGTCGGCGAAGACGAGGTGCGGCCATCCGTGGCAGCAACCTCTGATCTACGCAGCGCCGACTTCATCTTACTTGTGGAAGCCGCATATATGACGGAACTGCGGCGGTCAGCGGTAAGGCGACCCACGGCAATTCCCGACGAAGCTCTCGGCGTCGTAGAGTGGCTGACCTGCTTCCTTCCACCATCGGCCTCACTCCTCCCGTCTAAATCAAGATTTGGTCCTTCTCCTTTCTTTAGTTCTCATACTGGAATAGGGTGCATCATGCATGTTTGGGAAGTATCTGCCTACCATTGAGAGTTTTGTGACCAATGGCGATAGCGAGGTGATCATCGGCGGTCAGCGACTAATGTCTGTTGGGGATGGGGCGACCAGCCACCAAATAGTGGCAATTGGAGTCATGTTACCAGTGTGAGTTGACCGTAGGCGAAACGACCTGTGGCGGTCACTGTGGGGCGACCAGTGGCGGTCAGCTGTGAGGCGACCAGCAGCGATCAGCGGTGGAGCGACCAGCAGCGGTCAGCCGTGCAGCGACCAGTAACGGTCCGCGGGGAGGCGACCAGCAGCGATCAGCAGTGAGGCGACCAACAGCGGTCAGCGGTGAGGCGACCAACAACGGTCAGTCGTGCAGCGACCAGCAACGGTCGGCCGTGCAGCGACCAGCAGCGGTCAGCCGTGCAGCGACCAGTAGCGGTCCGCGGTGAGGCGACCAGTAGCGATCAGCGGTGAGGCGACCAGCAACGGTTAGCCGTGAGCCGACCAGCAGCGGTCAGCCATGAGCCGACTAGCAGCGGTCAGTCGTGAGCCAACCAGCAGCGGTCCGCTGTGCAGCGACCAGTATCGGTAAGCCGTGAGACGACTGCAGCGGTCGGCGGGGAGGCGACCAGCGGCGGTGTTACCGGCAGCGTAGGGTGCTCCATCTCCGGTCCAAAATCCAGATGCAGATTATCAGGATTTGATCGCTGAGCTCGAGACCCATTGGATCCGGAAGATGCAGGAGCGAAATTAGTCGCGATCTCCAAGATTGTATGAGGCGGATTCCGTTCCAAAGTTTTTACAGTGGCAATTAGGCGATCCCCCGCTTTGAAGAGATTGAGATGGTAGATCGGGCTAGCACCAGATCTGTGACCCCATGTGCATATCAAAACTTAGTAACGTTTCGCCATGCTACAGAAGCTGTGAATCGACGGTAGCAGTCATAGCCTCCTCTGTTACATCCTGATTTATCAAAACCGCCGACAACATCACATCTCCGATACGCCTCCTCTGTGATCCGAGGCTGTTGACAGCAGCGAAGATCAGTGGCCAGCATCCCATGTGTTTATGGACTAAAAATTCATCGACAATTAGAGGGAGGTTTCTATACTTTGAGCATAAAATCTCTCCTCTCAACGAAAGCACCATTTGATAGACCAAAACCTCCCGGGTGTGTATTTTTTGGTCTATTCGATATGTGTATAAAATATAGGGAATTTATGAACAAGAATATAGACAATAGACTTTTAACATGGAAACCAAATCGGTGAAAACCACGTGCCTTTTTTGGTGGTACCATGCCAACGGGGATGTTTTATTATATATCGGGGGCATATTTGTACAGTATATCGGCGTGATAGCCATTGATGGAGCTCGAAGCTCCATCGAGAAGAAGAAGATGAACGGAGAGAATACAATATGTGTGGAATGTAGAGGGTGGCTCCCCCTTTCTTCTTGGTTATGTCTCTTATATAGCATCAAGGTAGGAGCTTAGGGTTAGGGTTCCCTAGCGGGCTCCTTGCGTGGACCGGCCCAATATCTTTAATTNGGGGATGTTTTATTATATATCGGGGGCATATTTGTACAGTATATCGGCGTGATAGCCATTGATGGAGCTCGAAGCTCCATCGAGAAGAAGAAGATGAACGGAGAGAATACAATATGTGTGGAATGTAGAGGGTGGCTCCCCCTTTCTTCTTGGTTATGTCTCTTATATAGCATCAAGGTAGGAGCTTAGGGTTAGGGTTCCCTAGCGGGCTCCTTGCGTGGACCGGCCCAATATCTTTAATTAGGCCCAAGGGATATTATCCCATCACAAACATGGAAAAAACCATCTTCGCGGTGGTATGTACGGTGAAGAAGCTCACCCCATATTTTCAAGCCCATCCGGTCCATGTATTATCTCAAATTCCTATCGGAACACTTCTCCGAAGCCCAAACGCCCCGTCGTGGGTCAGCAAGTGGGGAGTGTTCCTGGGATCTTTTCAGATAGTGTTTAAGTCACGACCGGCGATAAAGGGGCAGGCATTGGCAGATTTCGTGGTAGAATGCACCGCAAGAGAGGTGGAGTCCAGTGGAGAAGAACCCGAGGGGAACTGGTGGACTGTGTACACTGACGGTTCGTCCGCGACTGATGCTTCGGGGGGAGGTGTCGTGGAAATATCACCAGAAGTGTTCAAAGCATACTACTCCGTGAGATTCCGGTTTAGAGTCTCAAACAATGAGGCTGAATATGAGGCGCTGCTTTGCGGTTTGAGGCTGGCAGCTTCATTAAAGGCTGAACGAATTCAAGTCCGATGCGACTCCAAATTGATAGTAGGCCATGTCACAGGAAAATTTGAAGCCAAGGATGAGCGAATGAAGAAATACAGGGACACCGCACTGGAGTTGCTTAAAGCATTCAGGGCATACCGGATAGAGCAGGTTCCCCGAGAAGAGAATGCCGAGGCGGACATTCTGTCAAAGCTTGGTTCGGATTCCCCAGAACATATCAAGGCCATGACCCAGGAAGAAGAGTTGCTCGAGCCAAGCATCGGTCTCGGACGAGTACTGGTCATCACGCTCAAGGAGCCGGCGGATTGGATCAATGAGATTACCATGTACATCCTTGACGGGTCGCTACCTACTGACCCAATCGCAGCAAAGGTGGTGAAACGGCGTGCACCTAGCTACACGCTGGAGTGCGGTTGACTGTACAAGCGATCGTACAATGGTACATTATTGAGATGCCTAAGGAGGGACGAGGCACAGAAGTTAATGGAGGAAATCCATGAAGGGATATGCTCAACACATCAGGGAGCCTTCACGATGTCCAGGAAGGTGACCCTACAAGGGTATTTCTAGCCAACGATTATCAGGGATTGTGCAGAGTATGTGCGTAAATGCAAGATTTGCCAGGAATTCCAAAAGGTGCCGGGGCGACCGGCAACGAATTATACCCTGATCAGCACGACGATTCCCTTTGCGCGGTGGGGCATGGACCTGGTGGGTATTTTGCCTCGGGGGACAGGGAATAACATGTATCTGGTAGTCGCGATCGACTACTTTACCAAGTGGGTCGAGGCTGCCCCTGTGCCGACCATCACTGAAGAACAGATGAGGAAGTTTGTGTCCAAGCAAATCTTGTGCCGGTTTGGGGTGCCCCAGCAGATTATCACCGACAATGAAAGCGAGTTTGAGGCTAGAGGGTTCAATGAGTTTCTACAGAGCTGGGGAATAAAACGTAGCTATGCAGCGGTTGGTTACCCCCAGACCAATGTGCAGGTCGAGAACACTAATCGTACCATCATAGATGACCTGAAGAAGAAGATAATGGAATGCAAAAGCGCCTGGGTGGAGGAATTGCCCTACATCTTGTGGACCTACAGAACTACCCTGAGGAAGGCCACGGGTGAAACTCCTTTCTCACTCACATATGGATTTGAAGCGAGGGCTCCAGCGGAGACCTCGTTGCTGAGTTATAGAGTGGAGACATTTGATGGCCCGGAAAATGAAGAAAACTTGAGGGCGGAGCTGCACCTCATTGATGAGCGAAGAGAAAGGGCGTACATACGGGCAGAGAACTACCGTCGGCAGGTCAAGTCATATCACGACCTGCAGGTGCGACCAAGGCAGTTCAGAGTGGGCGACTGGGTCCTTAGGAAAAGGGAGGTTAGTCGGCCGACTGATGGGGGGAAGTTTGCTAAGAGCTTCGAAGGGCCATTTTTTATAAAGGAGGTGTTGGCCGATGGGACGTTTAGATTGCAGACACCAACTGGAGGCGACGTTCCGCGAGTATGGAATGCCGCCAACCTTATTAAATTTTACCAATAGATTGTATTCCAGCCGTATTTCTCTCTTAAAGTTTAATAAAACCAGCATTCTGGCATATCTTGTCCTCAATTCTAAAAAAAAGCGACCAAAAAAGATCGCCAAGGAGCGACCAAAAGAGATCGCTAAGCCTGAGTTGTATGGTGATTCGCGCTAAGATACCCAACAGGGGATGAAGTGTCGAACCCTGTCAAAGCGACCAAGACTGAAGGCTGTCAAGCGACGCGATTAACCAGAGGGCGACGCCGTGGCGAGAAAGCCTGAGAAAACAGCTAAGTCCGGAACATAAGATCTGTTGATCGCATGAGCGACGAGGGGACCTTGAAGGTATGGTGACGCCACAAGGGTTGAAGTAACCCGAAAACGGCAAAAGAGGTAAGGTATTCTCTAATTAAGGTCTGAGGAAACCTGAGCGCTTAAAATGAGATACGAAAGAGAAGAAGATGGAACTTGTGAGTAAACAGGTAACATCAAAGTATATTTATGAAAATGTTTATTACATTTTAAGGATAATCTCTTACATCTACTACAATACAGTTGAGAACAATCTCTACGTACTTCCAAAAGAAGGGATATTTTCCCATACATTTCTTACAAGGAAAAAGAAAAATCTAGAACTTGGTGAGTAGCTGAGGCCCAGGAAGGACGAAGGATCCAGGGGAAACAGGCAAGGTTGAAGGGTAGTTCTGCAGCTGTATAGGCCGACAGAACTCCGATCACCGACCGTCCAGAGCGACCACCTTTCTTCTCCATCATGGAACAGGAGCGGTCGCCCCCAGCCTCGGCAAGAACCCACCGTCATTCTCCTACCAAGGAGGGACGGGATGCAGCTCACTTTTCTGTGAGCCCCAATCGGCATCACTTAGATGAGGATGCAGACCCTGGAGCCGCTCGCGCTACCCCAGATCGCCTAAGGGCCTTCCGGGGAGGTGAGCAACCCATAGGGCGGGGTAGGGAAGAACCCGGTTCTTCCCCCACCACAGCCTCATCTTTAGGCCTCACCGGTGAACTGGTGCGACTCTCGTTAGTCCATTGCTCCAGACTCGCGTAATATGCGCACTCATGCTCTAAGAGGGGTAAGTGCTCATCGTGGAAGCTCTCCCAGGCCATGCATTGCAGTGAATGGAGGGGGCATGGGGCATCCCAGTCAACCCGCCCGTCAGGCAGGCGGTTGGCAGAGAGAGCCTTGTACGCCTCGCTGAAATCCTCATAAGGGTTTGGGGGAATCGGCGGCGGTTTCACGGATGGCCATTACCGACGGGGCAACCGGCGGCAGAATTCGTAGGGGTCTAGCCCCCCCAGTCGTTGGAGTTAACTGATTTGGGGGAAGAGGCAGGTTCCGGCGAAGAAGGAGCCGGCCCGTCGGAGAGATCTAGAGAAGTGGGGATTCCTTCAGACATGACAAAAACAGAGAGAAGTAAAGTATTTGATGATGGAATTGAGTAAAGATTGGGGGGCTATAAATAGCCCTGGGCGAAGAAACCGAAGGGACGGATGAGTCCCAAGGCAGCTGAATCGATAAAGTGACTTCGAGCCACGCGAATGTCCAATCGGAGACTGTGAAGGGCAGTGGGCCAGTTGGGCGGCACGCTGGCAAATCCCGAAGCTGGGCCTAGACATGCAGCTGGGCCAGGGTCAAAAGTTGGGCCCAAACCATGTTAACGAGCTAAACTAAATTAAGGAGCATAGTAATCACGTACAGAAAAAGGAAAGCGCATGATGATCAAGACGAGTTAAACATCACATCCAACATGAGAACATTGCATCGAAACCTCAAGGCATTCCGAAAAATCAGAAGTCTTTACATTGCTGAAGGGCAGAATAAAAGCAACAAGAAGAGGGGAGACAGAGGAGTTAGATGCTCGAGCTGGGATTTTCGCCTGCCTTGGATGTTGCTAAGCTGGCCCCCGGATCCTGGTCGCCCTGTCCATCTTCTTCTTCTTCTTCTTCTTCTTCTTCGGAAGCGCTCGAGCTCCCTCCGTCCAGGTAAGGTCTGGGGTCGAACTTAGCCAGGGAGCTTAGCTTAATCATATGCTAATCTGTATACATGTTGGAGCTTAGCTTGACGAAGATGCCATGAATACATGAAAATGTCGATCAATTGATGAAGAATTTTATCGATTGATGTCAGACCTTCAAATTTGGTTACTAACTATTAAACCGAGAATCATTATTATCTAGGGCTTAAAGAGGCTAAATTTATATAAAATAATATCTCAGGATCGTATATTGCAAGACTCGTGTGTGATATATGACTTAAGATAATTTACACTTTCATTAAATGAGCGTGTAATTAACACATTTCCAAATCTAGCCCAAAGGGATCATGGGTGCAACATTTTTAAAAATTTAGGGATATTGGTGTAGTTTTTAAAGCTCGAGACAAAATCGTGCAATTTTTGAAAAGTTCAAAGGTAAATAGTGCAAAAAAACTCTATTCATATTCTTTACAATATGTTATGTACTCCGGGGTAACTTTTTCATACAATATCTATTACATCATACTTTTTCTTTAATAATATATCCATCATAAAATTGGAAGTCAACTACAATTTAACACTTCCTTATTATATTTATACTTGGTTAAATCAGGAACTCTTTTTGAGAATGGAGGGAGCAATACATAAAATATGATTAACATGCCCGAATTTAAACTAAAGGAATAAAAATGTTAGTACCAAACAAAGGACGAGAGAATATCACAAAATAATTTTCTCAAAGTATTAAAACTAGACCTGGAAAACAATGGATTTTGAACAATAGATTTGATGACCGAACCCGAAGTTGATCGAACCCGAAATGAATCTCTTAAAATGGGTCAAACCCGATCGAACCCGATCAAACTGACCGACCCGCTGAAGTAAGAATTTTTCAAAATCATATACTTTACTACTCGTTTTTGTGTATAAATTTATATTTTCACACAAAATTTTAATGATATTGCATAATTATCTAACTTTTTTCAAAAACTTAAGCATTTTTTAAATTCCTTAT